TGTACTAATTCACAGCATAGGAAAGATGAAACATCTAGCTACAAAGAACATAAAACTAATCAAAGTATTTATCTCTCCACTGAGTAGTATTTTGATTTTGTTAGTTCTGCTGTCGCAATCTACCATTGCATGATGTTTTGTTTAGGTTTTAAAGTGACCCAATTAATATTCTGAAAAGTTTCATATATGCATTGAAATTAGTAATTTTGAGCATTTCTGCTAAGGAGAAAAGTATTTTCCTGCTTCTGAAATATCCTCCTCTTCCCAGGAAATGAACTGGCAGTGATCATGATGTGATTATGAGGCCAGTCTGTATTGCAGAAAGGTAAAGTACTGCTGTAGAATAGTTAGCAAGGTAATTGTCACATCCTGCATGGAGATACATACTGAAGACAGAAAGCTTCTGTGCTAGAGAAACAGAGCAGCAAAGGAGGAAGTATTCTTGTGTCTTTGGAACAAAGCAGTTTTATGACTCTTAAAATACAACAGTAGAACTGACAGAACCTCATATTAAACACAACTTCTAATCAAATGGTAAGTGATAACAAAATATTTTGTGATTCCTGGTAGAAATAGCTGTAATACACATCTGTATCATTTCCAGTATAATGTTTCTAGTCTTATTCCATTGCAATCCATTCTGCTTCATAAAAGCCTAGTCAGGCAGTGAAAGATCTGATTTGATTCTGGAATCTGTTAGAGCAAGTCAGTGAATTCTGAGACATAAATGTGGACTAACTAGAATGGAATTCTATCTGCCTATAAAGTACATGGAGACAAGAAACAAAGGAATTACATGTGGGTAGAACAGTTGCATAAGTGATGTTGGTGTAACGAGGCATTCCATTTATTATTGAATTGGGCAGGAAGCTTCAAAATTATTTAATTCTTTTAACTGTATGGTTTTCTATTGCTCTATGACTTTGCTCATAGTGACAGGCAAGTCCTTTTACTCTTTTTCTTTATCTTTTAGTCATATAATGGAGCTAGGAAAGAAAGATTTAGGACACATGATCACAAATTGGACCATCCTGTTACTATTTTCTTTCTATTGTTTAAGTCAATGTAGCTGTTAAGTCTCAGGTTGTTTCCTGGATATTTCAAAAGGTGTGAGGACTAAAGCCATCTGCCTATGTGATCATAGGGATTTTTTTTAGCCCTGTAGGATAAAAACTGGTAATTGTAATGAACTGATAGCAGAAAAGCCAGAATGGAAAAACCCACAAACTGAATTGTCTCAGGAGCAGACCTATATAGTTATAATGGTTTTACATTAAACTGTGTGTGACATTTGATTGTCATTAAATGTCTCTAAATGCATTTAGAGGTACAGAGGAAGAACTCTATGTCACAGGGATTCAGATTTTTGTAAAGAAAAAGGAAAGGATTTGTTCATTTACCTTTTCCATTGTTGGTGTTCATCATGTATGGCAAATGGCCATGGTGTACAATGGCTGGTGAAAGGAGGGAATTTTTTACCCCCTGCCAGGTTTGAACAGAGCCCCAAAAAGAGGATGGGGTAATTTTTCCTCCCCAGAGCTGAGCACACAATGCTTCACACCTGAATGGGATTGCAGCAGAACCCCCAGTGGGGACTAAGAGACACTGAGGAAATTGTAAAAAACCAACCCAGAGCAGGGATGTGCTCATGTGTTTATACACATACATTTAACAAGAAGTTTACTCTGCCCTTCACCATTTGCCATCTTTTTGGTCTCTACTGTTTACCTTGAGCTCTCCAAGCAAGGGTCTGTTTCCCACATATGTGATACAGTTGAAAAGTGTTCACATCATCCTTTTTTTCTGTATCCATTAGACAGTAGTGTCATATTTTTCCTTCTCAGTGTTTTCCACTCGCCCAGCATCCTTGGAGTGGCAACAGAATGTGGCTGCTGTGCATGTTGTGCCTCTTGTAGGGCTGGAAGAGCAGCCTGCACTTAAGTGTTCTGCATGCAGCATCAGGCAGTGCTGAATGGAAAATGCCATGACCAATTTAGAAGAAATAAAGGCCATTCATCTGCCTTTGAGGAGTAACCTAGATACAGACCTCACTGTGCTGGGTGTAACATGGAGAGGTGCCCTGTCTGGCAGAACCATTGAGTCAAGAAATTCAGAGCAGGAAGAATACGAAATAGCATTGCCCTTCTTTTAAAAGTGAGAACCCAGGCACAGTTTCTCCTCCACCAAGATCAAAATGAACATCTGTGGCATGTGAAAGAAACAAATCTCAGAATAACAAGTCTGAGACACTTCTTTCATGTGGGGGATAGCTGAGACACATGAAATGGGCTTTTTAGGGACTCTTCATTCTTTCCCAGTAATAAGATCTCAAGGTGTTACTTACACTTGAATATGTTAAGTTCAGCTGATTTACCTTAAGTATTTTTTATTAAAGTACTAGTTTAAGATTAAGCATTAAAAAATATATTTTCCTAGTGAATTTGACACAATATTTTTGAATTTCATGAATCTATGAAGCCCTGAACATTCTCTAGTGTATTAGACAAAAGTAGTGATTTACATTATTTTGACGTTGCAAATGAGTTTTGAAGGGTAATGGGTTTCATATAGAGAGATTGAAAGATAACATTCCTTCATTTGTGCCTGCTGACTTCTTTCCCTATCATACTACATTTAGCAAAATGAATAAGGCAGAAGCAATGCTGGTGTATTTTTATGTTAATTAACATATTTTAATTTCAAATAGCATTTCTGAAGAAAAGATACACTCCAAAAAAAGTGATGCCAGGGCAAAACTAATGAATTTTCATTCTTTTCACTATACTTATGCTTTCATAAATTCTTTTTGTTATATTCTGGTGCATGAGAATGCATCAGTAGGCACTCAGAATATGCAGCCCACAGATTTGATTTTTACAGAAATGCAGCTTAACTTTTTTAGCTACATAATAAAGTTCACCCTAAAAGTGTGTTATTTTTAGTGACCAGTTGGGTAATAGCTATAGGAGTGCAAACTTCAGGAAGTCAGATAAGGATTTTTTAAAAAACAACACATTGTAAATTACAAGAAGACTGCACACAAAGGATTTGCTGTTTTGTACCTAAATTGGACTATTCTTAGACAAATTTTAAGGGTAGGCCACTCTTGTCCCAAAAAGTCTGCAGCTGAGAGCTCACTCTTGCTCCAGTTGCATTGCTTAAAGCAGTGTGATGTATACTTTAATTTGTTAAACTGAAGTTTCACTGCACTAATTCCTCTTTTTCATATCTTGGGGCACCTTGGAAAACCCTTGGCTCCTCGGGAGTGAAAATGGTTTTGGCCATGGTGCTATAACACAGAAATGTCCATGGTCTCTGCATGATGCCCATGGCTGCTGGGCCAGTGACCATATTCTGATGGTGGTGGTGAGGGGCTCAAGAAGCAGCCCTGTTTAGCAGCATGGTCCATGGGTTGCACTGCTCTGATCCCAGACAATTCCAGTAAGAATTCTTAGTTCATGGCCCCTCCAGGCACAGATTCACTGGCAAAATACTGACATACTGTGATTTCCTTGTGCATCCTGTCAAGAATAGGGCACAGTAAAGCAGTCTGTCCTTCGTGTAACGCTTGTCACTACAGTGATGTAAAACCAATGACATGGTTGAGCAGGATTGTTGGTACTCATCAGAACTGATCAATAAATGATGTTTCTTTTACTTCCATAACTCTAGCGTATCCAGGTGCTTGTATAAAGCAAGACCACTGGCCATGGTTTCCTGCACTGCAGTAAAATCAGCAATGCATTCCACAGAGCCAGGCGAATCTCATGTTTCTTCTGCTGAGTGAACAGAGAAAACAGGCTCCTCAAAAATATTTTAAATCACATTGCTATAGTTCTTGTTTGTAACCCTACAGAACTTTCACTATATGAGTAAACACTCGTAGCTCTTGAAACCAAAGCATTATTCAGGAACTTGGTTTGAAATAATTTCTTTTGCAAGTAACAAAACAACACTGATTTTCTCTAAATTCTTTTGGAGGAAGTGAAAAAGAATGATTTGAGAAGTTAACAGTAACTCATAGGTAAGTTCCAGTTAAGCAGAAGCCACAATTAAAAACTAAAAATTTTAGGTCTAAATAAAGGCATATAAGAGACAATTCCCCTTGTTAGAGAGGAAATACAGAAATTTTCTATAGTTGAAAGTAAATTCAAACTTAGGATATTCTTACCCAGCTATGTAGAGCCATAGTAATACTTTTGTAAGAAAAAGATACTTAATTTAAAAGTTAGGAAAATAAAAGTTGTCACCAGACCTAATTTTTTTTTCTATGAAAAAATTAAAAGCATTTTTATTTTCCGTAAAACTGTGTTTTCTTCCCCAGGTCTTCTTGAACTGGGACAGATTTTTACTTTGTTCAGTAAAAGTTTGGAAATTGAATAAATGTATTTTCTTTCTAATTAAGTGATGATAAAAAGACTTATTTTAGTACTGAAATAGTCTACTCATGGTAGAAGTTTGCAGCCTGTTGTTCCTGCCTGAAACAGGAAGGAAAGGAAGACACTAAGCTGAGAACTCATCATCTCAGCTTAGTGGCAGGGCTCTTCCTAATTGTTGAATACATCAGAAGAGTGAAGATAAATGCTTGCTTGTTATAACCATCCACTCAATACAAAAAGTGATAGACTTCGTGGAATGAGCATTATTTTATACTCCAAGATTTCTTAAGGTAGCAGAATAAAATTTAGGTTTCAGAATTCTCTTAAAAGCCGAAATATGCTTAGTGTGCATGAAGATTGGACAAATTCAGAGAAATCACAGCTTGTTATAGCCAATGGGAGATTTCCTTCTGGAATAAAAGACCTTCTGTATAGAATACTAACACTATAAATTTTAACATGAAAGACACATGAATTTACAAGTTGGAAGTACATGCAAAGAGAGGACTGAAAATTATGAAATGGAAAAGTTAGCCAAGATTTTGGTCTAGGGCAGAGTAAGTGAATAGCTTTTAGCAGTTAACCCCCACCCTCTGTAGTAACTCTGTGTTATCCTTCCAGGTACCTGGGAATAACAAGACCTCTTACATACCCTGTAAGGCAGAATGGGAAGTGTATGGCCAAAATGATCCTGTGTGTCTGGCTTTTATCTGCCTCCATCACCATCCCCCCGCTCTTCGGCTGGGCCCAGAACGTAAATGATGAAAAGGTTTGTCTCATCAGTCAAGACTTTGGCTACACCATTTACTCCACAGCAGTTGCATTTTACATTCCAATGTCAGTGATGCTTTTCATGTACTACCAGATTTATAAAGCTGCCAGGAGGAGTGCTGCTAAGCACAAGTTTACAGGTTTTCCCCGTTTGGAAGAAATTGAAGGGATTTCTGTGAATGGACTTGTAAAACACAAGGAATCTGAAGAATGTACTAATTTTTCACGACTCCTAAAGCATGACAAGAAAAACATTTCCATCTTTAAAAGAGAACAGAAAGCTGCCACCACCCTTGGGATTATTGTTGGGGCTTTCACAGTCTGCTGGCTGCCTTTTTTCCTCCTCTCCACTGCAAGGCCCTTCATCTGTGGTACAGCCTGCAGCTGCATCCCACTCTGGGTGGAGAGAACATTTCTCTGGCTGGGCTATGCAAACTCTCTCATTAACCCTTTTATATACGCCTTCTTCAACCGGGACCTGAGGACAACCTATCGCAACCTGCTGCAGTGCAGATACAGGAATATCAACCGCAAACTCTCGGCCGCGGGCATGCACGAGGCTCTGAAGCTTGCAGAAAAGCCAGAATTTGTTCTGTAAGGTCACTCATCCTCTCCTGTGATCATTTGTTGTTTTATCACATTGGTTTTTTCCCCACAGGTTTGAAAGAAGTGTAGGAAGAACCAGTTGAGCACTGTTGGTGCAGTCATCAGGAAACAAGGTAGAGCCCACCAGTCCTAATCAGCCTGGAAAAGCAAAACCACCATCTAAAGAATTTGGGTGTAAGAGGAATATAAACAAGGATGAAAGTGGGAAGTAGTGCAGGATATTTGAGGTGTTAGTGAGGAAAAAGTAAAGTTGGCCTAACCTGTTTGTTTGGTCCAAAAAATGTTTAGTAGCTCTGAATGTTGGATGCACCTTGTGTCCCAGAGGTTCTTTGCTGTAATAAAGACCTGAGAATGAAAAGTTAATTTCCTTCAACTTCAGTATTACAAAAATAAATCATTAAAGAAGAAGCTAAATCAAAGAACTTCTATTCCTTAGAAATATTCTTTATTATAAAAACCTGTATGTTCATTAAATATTAATTTACTGGATTGCCTGGAAATGAACCATGTTGTGAAATTCAATATTGCCTTTGCACAGCAACTCTGTCACTGAAAGAATATGTTACACTTCCAATGTGATTAAAAGTTTGAGTAAAGTCATACGGACCAGCATCTACTGCTTCCTACAGCCATGCAGCACAGCTAGCTGCAGTGCTGCTGTGCAAATCACTCCAGGTAATCTTGTATTGTATTTCTAACATAACACATGTCTCTGATTACACTTGATTTCAGGATCTGTCTGGTCTTTGTCCATCTCTTCCTTCTTTAATTCTCTTGGCTTTCTCAGCTGAGCACTTCTCTAATCTAGATGGAGACTGTCTGTGTACAAGTCATTTCTGTGATATATGGCTAGTCCCTGTGCCACTTCAGTAGTTAATTTACTGTCTATTTGAAAGCTCTTCTACTTTTTGGGACTTCTTTCTCTTCTGAAGTCAGTAAGGAAAAAACAAACATAAGACCTTATGACTTCACAGACATCTGGACTTCATCCTTGAAAAATGATTTTAATCATCACTTGTGCTTAAAGTGATTTAAAGCCTTGCCATGTGTATGAATAAAGATAATTTACTTTTTCTGGTTCTAGCTTTTTCTACCATCATTTCAGTTTGTCCAAACATGTGATCCTACTTCTCCTGACTTTGCTAACAGATCTCTTCTGTCAGTGTAGCAGGGCCAAATAGTATAACAATTTTAAAATAAAAAATTAATAATAAACATATTGATTATATTAATATATTCCTAGTAATGTATTAATATAACATGCAGCAATTTTGTAAGATACTATTATAATAACTGCAAATAATAACAAAACAACTCATAAAGTCAAGATGAGTTCTTTGGCCCAAGTTTTCACTGCACACCATGTTCCAGCTCGAGTAGAGATCGAGGGTACATTACTGAACAAAGGCTTCAGCCTTCAGAGCTTGATCTACTTTTTCAGATATTGGGACATCAGTGAGGAGACATGTTCATTATCAAATTGCCTCAGCATCAAATCCCACTTTAGGCTAACTTCTGTCCCTGCTTTCTCAAGTCTGAAGGCAAAGTGACTTCAATGAGTTTGGTGATGCTCATTTGGGCTAGGCAGGGAGCAGTCTGTGCCACACCCTTGTTCCCAGCATTCAGATGGAGCTGCAAACTCTGGACCCTCTCACTGGCACAGAGCCAGGAGCTGGACTGATCTGCTGAGCTGTGAAACTGAAACGTGCTTAAGTAATTTTAGGTGCATTCATACACTACAGTAGGAAGTACATTTTGGCCTCATTTTCAGAACAGAATTGTAGCATTTAAAGCATTCCAGCTTTAAAATAGTATTCTAAAGAAGTTTCAAATTGGTTTGGGACAGTCCTATTTCTTTTAAATGTTCTGATATTATGCACAGGGACAAGAAGAGATTTGAGCCCAAAGAAGTTCCACAAGCTCTGAAGTATGGAGAAGAGCTCATGTTAACTCAAACATATTTTCCATAGTAAACATGAAATTATTGCTGTTTCTTTATTACTTATCAGAGTAGCTTTTTTGTGTTTGTTTGTTTCCAGCATAAATGAGAAGTTTTCAAGGCCTTCTGTAAGTTTTTTTTCCTGTATAAGGACATACATAGGAACATACAAATAGATGTATCTGGGAAGACTCCAAGTGGAACTATAAAACTCTGAAGGTGATTTTAGAAAGTTTAGAATTCTGGACAGAAGTTTCAGCATTTTTATTCTCCAGGAAAGGCTGAGAAGCTGTGTTTCCTCCAAATAAGATGTTTTTGGTGATTTTTTTTTAAATGGAATATGTCTTGTGAGTCAGAAATTGACATTTGCCCAGCTGTCACTAGAGGCAATTGCTATCCTCTGGGAAAACATCCTGCAGCAGTCCAGCTTCCCTCTACCATCTGTTTCAGGTAATGAGAACTCAAGAAGGAATAAGAGTTGTTATGGTGTTTATACCAATCCTTGAAGTTTTTGGAGATAAACATCCATATTTGATCTCTGGATGTGTTTGGAAAGAAAAGAAAAACCAAAGGAAAAAAAACTTCAAAAACCAAAACACAACAAAGTTTCTTCATACACCCAAATCAAAATATAGAAAAATGGAAGGTGTTTCTAGATGGAGCTGTATTTGAGGGGGAAAGTAAAGAAGTTGAGAAGATTAGAAGAATGTTCCTATTGCCCAAACACACAAAGAATTTGAGAAGAGAACTTTTGCAGACAGAAATCTAATGGAAACAGGCTTTAAGAAGAACAAGAAAGATATAATTGTTTGAGTTTGTGTACAAGACATTTCCCTTTTTTTAAAGATAAATAAATAAATTGAACTGCATCACAATATCTAACGGCAGCAATAGCATTTTTTTCACTTACAGATTTTTTTCACTACAGATCTGACAAGGGGGTGTACAAAAATGGATGTATGAGAAGTCTATGTCAACATGTGCTTGCAGCAAATCCAAGAAGGGACTACACTCTTGGTCTCTGTGCTCTTCTATGTGTTTCCAGAGGAAAGCCAGAAAGCTGAATCAAATAGGTGGGGTTGTGAAAGAAATGGAAATAAAAGACTCCAGGATCCAGGCACAGCACAGGCAGGCCTGCATAACACTAAGTGAAGAGGGAGAAAGTGAGAATTGTACTCCCCCTGCCCACTTAGCACAGTTTTTAAGAAGGAGCCCGACTGTGGTAGGAACCTGATTCCTGACACTTTTTCCAGCTCCCACCACCTACCAGCCTCTAGATCTAGTACTGTAACACAGTATTGGCGCTTGCCAAACTCCTCTGTTTAGCAGCAGCCTTACTGGGGAGTAATAGAAATAGCAGAGTAGTAAAACATGTGACTCGATGATTATCTTATTATTATGCCTCTATTGCTTCACATTGCAGTTTCATAAAAAGAAAAACAATGTTTTTTTTCATGCTCTGTTCAGAGCTAGGACCAACTGCAGGAAGATGTGTCAAAGAGTGGCAAATAAATCTACTGCAATGAGACAAAGAAGGGAATTATTTACCAAATTCATACTATAAATAATGCAGGCAAAATCCACTCACTCTTTTGCCCCTGATACCTGGCAGGAAAACAGGTTTCCAGGTAGCCATTGCTCCAAACAGTGCAGCATTATTAAAAGAACATTACTGAGTTAGGTTTTTGGATTACTGACCAAGGTGCTGCAGTTACAGAACTGGAAGGTGTTGGAAGCCATGCCATTGATTTTTGTGCTTTCCCTAGCTATTAAATTTTCATAGAAGTTTTCTAATCTTTCAGGAAAGAAACCTATTTAAATTACAGTATTCTCAAAAACAGTGCAAGATCAATGTGTCATCAAATCCTCTTCACAGTTTGCTTAAGAAGTAATTCTTGTCTTTTAAAATGTTCTCGGGAAGACACAGAGAAAGAGAAAGGAGAAAATTAAGAGATTTGGGGAATGGTTTTAATATGCAAAATTATTAATATCCTGGAGTGGAAGAGACCTCTTATTTCAAATGCTGACAAGGTAGGGATTGTGAGGACTAGATTTTTTTTTTTTTAAGAGAAGGGCTCAAACAAGTAAATTTAAAAATAGCTAAAGAAAAATTGAATCAGAAGAGTAATCTTTACAATTTGCAAGAAATACAAACTTAGGTTCCTCTTCATGGTTTTAAATCTTCTAAGGTTGTTATCACCACTAAAGTGTGGGTTCAGCATGAGTCTGAAGTGAATTGTATTTTCTATATCCACTTTCTAAACTTTTGCCAAATGGGTCTGTCATTCCCCACACCCAAAATTCAGCTGCTCTGCTCTTTTGCCAAATCCCTTCTCACATAGGGATAGTTCCAAAAGGACACAATGGTTTTTATTAGCTGAAAAGTGAAAAGATGCTTATGATTCCCAGATTAATTTCTCAGTGCTGCAAGCTAAAAAAAATCCCGTTGAGCTACATCTAAAAGATATTAATATATGGTGATTGCTGAGGATGGTATTTTGATGATTCATGTAGCTTTGTGACTTTACTGATTGAAATGGTACTTTCTCTCTTTTGCAATCTTTCACATAGAGCTAGTCAAGTTACTTCAGAAAAAAATCACGCACAAATGTATTAAAGTTTCCAGAAGAGTTCATCTCCAGTTTCATAAACCAACATACCAGACAGAGTAAATATTTTGCCATTTTTTTCTATCTACTCAGTCAAAATCAACAATATTTCATTAATTCAGTAGTTGTGTGGTCTTGCTAGTTCCAGGAAATTGTGTTTACAGTATACATATTTTTACCTTTTGCAAGAGAAGAGAAAGCAAGCCACTGAAGTATACTTAGTTCAGCCCTTTTGAAAAATCTTTTTTGAAGCATGGAAAAATAGAAAAGAATGCATCTGGATAAAGTCATTATTGCCTCAGAAAACTTGGCATCTTTTGCTAAACTAACCAGGTCTGTGTAAAAACAACAGGGATTCCTCAGTCAAATCTACCATCCTGAAGAAGGTTGCAAGGAAAATACAAAACTTAGTAAAATTAAATGAACATTTACTTCCCAACAATAGTTGCAAAAGCTGCCAAATCCATAAATTTTATTTCTGTTTTCAAATAAAGTAGTAAATGCAGCAAGTGAAAATCATGCTGAGGACCTTTCTCTTGTCATTACCAGAAAATCAGAGGTTCAATTACACACATAAAGTTAATGCTGCAAAATAACAACATTAAAAAAAAAATAGTTATTAAATTATAATATTTTTAATATCTATTTCTGAAATAATCTCCTATCAGCCCAGAAAAGAGAGAAACAACAAACAACATTCTCCAGGGCAAATTATATAAAATCCAGAATTTTATTCTGGCATTAAAGGAAAGTCTAGAATGGCATAAAATATAGACTTTAAAATATCTTTATCTTTCCTTTATATCTAGTTTTGAACATGGATATGATCACCAGCCTTCCTTTAATTTGGAAAATTTTTTACCAGGATTTTTTTTCATGTAATAAAATCTTTGAAATAAATGAGCATGCAGGTTTGTCTGTAAAAATGCCTGCTCCTGCCACTTTTAGAGATATGAATAATTCCATGGTTTGAACAGGGGGGCTCAAAGAAGACAGAACAGGAGCTTGCTGCAAGACTGGAGGGGGATGCCCTGACACCCTGTCTTGTAGCCTTGCAGATGTTTGGGTTACAACATTTCAGCCTGGTTGCTGTACCAAAGTGGTTCTTCCCTTCACCCAGCTTGAGAAGAGAGGCAGGAATTTGTATATTCCATGCAAAGATTTTGCAGTAATTCTTAGTCTAGAGACAACTCTATGGAAGCAAGGAAGAATCTTTGTTCCTGCTCTGGCTCCTTTCTCTCTCACACACGTGAGTAGCGGCGTGTGGAGGTCTGTGCTGGCACCGGAGGCTGGAAGGCTGCACCAAATGCAGAGCTCTCAATAAGGTCACCTATATTTAATGAAGGAATTAGGGCTTTTGCCACTGAACTGTGTAAAACAGACTGAGAACGTCCTCAGTTCTCACAACAACCCAAAATATGATGACTACAAAGTCCCCAGAATGCTCCGTTTTCCCCCAGCTTCCTTGTTTGTATGGAATTTTAGAGAATTATCTCAGTAGACATGATCTAATTGCCTCTTGAGAAATGTTTCCATTTATTTCAGTGGTATATTTTGTCAGAGATTTTAGGTGCTAAAGGATATTTCTAATCTAATTAATTCACTTTTTTAACAGCAGGAGAAGTTCTGATTTCTCCAGGGAAAAAGAATCATGACCAAGTGTGCTTCAAAGCAGCCAGAAAAAATCAAGTCAGACCAGGAAGAAGAAAAATGAGGAGTTGGCTTCTAAAGAACTGGATAGATTTATAAAATGTACTTCATCTTCCTTTGATGGGAGTGGGCTAAAAATATTCCATGAGCTCAATACATTAAATTAGATATATTTCTATTGGAAGTACTCACATCTTGTTTGTTATGGAGGAAAATGCTGTTACATAGTCTTCTGCCTGAGAAAGCCAAATAATTTCAGCAATAAGTTTGACACAGAGTGGAAGGAATGCAAATAAAACTCAAAGATAAAGCATTGTACAAATTTCCACTACACTTAACGATGTAGAAGAACATTTGTATGTTTACCATGCTTGTGGATCCCAACATTGGTATTCATATTCAGGGATTGCCAGTGATACTGAATGTATTTTGCTGTACTAAAAATAGAGGTTTTCAGGCAAATTCTGTCTCCGTGGATGCTTTCAGAGCTTCTGTTAAAGAGATGCTGCACACCTGCAATGGGATTGAGAATGACAACAATAAAAGACCAATTTTTGTTAAAGAGTTCTGTTGTATTAAGTAAATGTTTGTTACTATTTAGCATATATGTCATTGGTTCTCCCTAACTTTTGTAAAACTCTGCTTACAGTTACACAGTGATGAAAGATAAGAGGCAAAATTAGAATGCACATGTATTACACCACAGCTAATTTACAAATATGATTGCTTTGCTTTAATGCAATTTTCATGACCTGCCAATTTATGAATTTCTGTCATTTCAACTCAAATATGTATAAAAGGCTGGATAATTTCCACAGCACTTGCCTTTTTGTCTTACTGGCTAGCAAGACAGAGAATTAATTTTTTTTTTTTTTTGAAATATGTTTAAGAGGTGTTATTTCTGCCAATGGTTTGTTATAATTAAAACAGATCATTTTGGCTTGATAAAAACTAAATAGGTGAGTATAAATGACCAAGTGACTATTTTTCCCAGGGAAAAAGGATTCAAGGCATTGTTCCTTAAGCATAGCTTTTAATATTTTTTGGGGTTTTTTTTGAGCTTCTCACATATTCATTTCCCTTCTAAACTATGTTTAGAGTTTCTAAACTATGCACGGTTATACAATGCACAATGCAGAAACATAGCCCATTCCCAAAGTGTTTGAAGGTACTCCTTGATGAACACTTGCCTTATTTCCATAGCTGTGGGATTTGTGATAATTTAATCCCTTACTTGCAGTTTAACCAAAATGCTGCTGGTAAATCATCCAGTGGCTACATGTGTCATTGGGGCTTTAATTTCCTTTATTTATATCAATGTAAAAGTTCACCATAGCTGCCTAAACATACCAGACATACCAGAACAGGCCAATAAATTTCTTATTGGCGAGGAATCAGCATAGGAAGCAAATCAAATCTATGCTAAGCCTATGTAAAACCTAGAACACAGAGCCTAATCCTTCTTCTACACACAATCCTGACACCCTAAGGTAACTCCTGTGGTCACATGAGAGCACCAGAGTAGCAGATTTTCATTTCACTAGGGCAGCAAGGCTCCTTTCAGTATTTTACTGATATAACTACTCACTCTGAACTCTACATCTGAAACAAAAGGAGTCTTACAGTTTATTTTATTTTCCAAAGGGAATGACACAGAAGTGCTTTTTACTTGGTTTGCCTGAATTATTTAACAGGAAAATTGACATTATTGGCAATGGCCAGTGGGCCAGTTCTGGTTGCATTTTATGAGAATACATTCAGAGGAACTCAGCTGAAGGCAAAACTACAATGGCAGATAATATTATAATTGAACCTAGTGAGAAAGGGAGATGATTGTTTCACAAATGTAACAAGAATAAAGGGGAAAAAGGAGGGGAGGGGTTTACTTTTTTTTTACTTTTTACTTTTTTAAAAAAACCCAAGCCTTAAAATGAGGGGCAGTGGCCATAATCTGAAACTCATTTTCAAGCTTTATGGTCTCAGTTGCATATCCATTTCACAAAGACAATGAAGCAATTTTACTGTCATTTTCCTTGTTCATGATGCTGTGTCAAAACCTTAACTTGAAGTGAAATGGAAAAAATATACATTATATTAATATTTTAAAGGATTAAAAAAATTTCCAAATAAAAAATAGCTGCCAGTAAAATTTTTCTGTGAAAATTTATGTGGTTTTTAATGTCATTATTTTAAGTGTAAGGGAAAATGTGTGTTTTAAGAGGAACTTAATAGAGGGCAAAAGAGTCCGAAAGAGCTTTAAGCTGCTAGGGAGCTACAGTTCCAGGCAGATGTATCTATACATATATATAGCACACACACTCATGTCCCTTGTATTTTAGGATGGTACTTTCTCATGAAAAGAAGGTAGTGAATCTATCATTACCTGATAAACATTTTTTTCACTACCTATTATATTCCCAGAATCTCACAGAAATTATGAGGTTATCATAGGACAGGCTGTGGCTTCACAGACCTATAAAGTTGCTGTTCTACCTGTTTTTCCAGAAAAAGTTTTTCACCCAGGATCTTTCAGACACATAAGCAACACAGAGAACATTAGGAACTATGCAGTTCTGGTACTTTGTGATAGGAAATTAAGCTTTTTTGTTTTTTCCTGCTGTAACTGTCAGGTCTGTCACCTCTCACACCAATGCACAAACTCACACAGCAGCTAGGAGAGAGACCCAAGTGCATGCCCAACACCAGCAAATAATGCACACATTTTAGAGGATTAGGAAAGAAATAGGGCTGTTCAAAAGAGGTCAGGAGATGAGACAGCCTGGTGGGATAAGGAGCAGAGCTTTCCACAGTTCCTGTAGCCCCCACTACAAGGGCAGCACACAGACCTGCCTCCCACTGAGATAATCCAAGTGCCCAGGCTGTGGATATAACCACAGCAGAGTGGATGATGATGCCAGAAGCAAGGCTCAGAACCCCTGTCCTGGATCTGCAGAGGATGCCTCTCTAGCTCTGTCCCTAAAACCTGTTCTGGGATGTGACAGTGAGCAGTTTGCATTTTAACAGGGCTGCCTTATGGTAGTTACCATTGCATTTACCAGTTACCATTGTCATTCAATAAAATAAATTACTTTAAAAAATTGCATACATCTTGATCTTTCACTATCCACCCGATCCTGTCTTTTCCCCATATACTCTTGTGGTTAACAGACCACTGAGGTATTTGGTGGACAAGCCTACTACACCTTTATTATATCTCTCCTACATTTCCCTTATCATCCTTTTTTTTCCAGATTAATCTTCTAGTCTACAAATTTGAAGCCTTTTCCTAGCTGTCCCCTTGATTCTACTGTAAAGTTCTTACTAAATTATGTGGCTTTATCAATATGACAAAGTGATTCATTTGCTTCAGACATGAGCAAAAAATAAATTCAGTGATAAGAGGAGAAAGTTTTTTATTATCACAATATACACTGATAAAAAAGTTATGTGGAAGCACAAAAATCTACATATACTATGTAAACAGTCAGATGATCTCAATTTTAAAAGATAAATGTGAATTCTATGTATTATTTCAGCCAGCTGGGACTTTTAATATGCAAAACTCACCAGAGGATTGAGATGAAACTATTTTAGGTCATATATTTTACCTTGAAAAGGTCTGGTAAAATATAAAGATGGGTAACATAAGAGATTCTTTTCCCCAGGTAGCTTGCCAAGAAATACAAATATGATGAAATTAAACTCTTCACATTCTAATTAGCTTGTGCTGAAAATATTGAGCCTCTTTTGTTGTAATATGAGTTTTACTTGTAAGAAAAAGAATTTCTGCCACTTACATTGCAAATTATGCAAATTTATACAGCAGACTAATTTAGCAGAAAAGGAAATAGGGTTCTTTTGTATTAGGTACCAAGTTATATTATGCTTTTAAAATGTATAAGCCTTGAGGAATATTAAAATGTTAATTTGGATAGTATTTAAAAGGTAATTACTTTTATACAATAAAATAAGTCTACTGCATACTAATCCCTGTTTCATGTGCTTTTTTGAACTAATGCTACATTAAATAGAGAATCCATTTGTTTAAGTGATTTTAATTTAGATACGTGGAAGACATTATCATCTACAAAACTGTCTGCATTTTTTCAACTCAACTAATGGAAAATCCTTACTGTATTAAATTCAATGTTGAAGAAAGTACTTATACTTGTTGAAGAGTGGTGAACTGAAAGAATGAGAGATTTTTAATGGCTCTCCTGAAGAAAGCGTGGTTTGGTTGGTCAGCACAAGTGCTGCTACAATGAGCAGTGGCAAGAGCCATACGGAGCAGGTTGAGACTGATTGCTCCTAAACAAAAGCTGATTTCATCTATTCAAGCCTATTCAGGGAAGGGTGAATGTGGAGAAATTTTATTGGCATTTCAATGCAGAGAAGACTGCTCAGAGCAGCCAGCATATTTTGTCCAACTTCTTGAATTATATAATCTAACCCTTTGTCTGTGATAATCTTTTCAATGCACAGAGGGCATCCATCTTGGGACATCCTCAGAAAATGATATTCAGGGGTTTTGTAACATATTTCATTCATGCTAGTGTTTTTTTATTATTATTATTTTTAGACCTGTTAAATCATTGCTTGTTTCTCTAGCCAGACTATTTTCCTACGGTTGACTACCTATATGAATTATTTTGTTAAAAATACCCCTTATCTAAATTGGGTATTTAGCCAAATAAACAGAAATTATTTCCAGCTGAACCAAAAAAGCCAATAATGCTCTTTAATTTGTAGGAAAGCCAGAAATTATATTTTGATTTATTTTTAAACATTTTATAAACGAGATTTTTAGGAGACAGAGTGTTTTGAAACTGCTCTCAAAAAAGGAGTTTTTCATGTAACATCTCAGTCGTTCTGAGCAAATCTCATCTCTTATAGTTTCAATTACCAGATTCAGGAAAGATGAAAGACACAAACAGCAGCAGGAGCCGTGATGGGAAAGCACATCAGAGAAAAGCTGCGTTCGGGACACTGAGTGTGTTGGTGTGGTTCTCCAGAGCAAAGGCAAAGCAAACCAGCAGGTTCCAGCTGTGTGCCCGGCCTGGCTCCTTCCCTGAATGCAGATGTGCAGCTGGGGCCCTGCAGCAGCCCCGCTGTGCCCGTGGCAGGGGCAGTGCCCGTGGATGTGGCACTGACCAGCACAGCCCTGGCTGGCCCCGAGCTGGGGCTGGTGAGGAGCGAGAGCTCAGTGAGCTTTAGTCTTCTCCAGCTGGAGATCTACTGAACATCACTTAATTTTTAACAAGAATATGTAGCCCTTTTAAAAATGATTTCTGATCAAGTTACAGCCCCTGCAGATTAACCACATAAGAGTTCCACGCAGTGAAACTCAGGTTGATCTGTGCTTAAAATGAGAAATGTTAAGAACCTCTCTGCTCTCCTAGGTCATTTACATATGCCCACTCTATATTCGTTAGTTTGACATTTACTGCTTTTGTTCTGTCAGCAGAAAGATGACTTGATTTTCACTGTTGTTATTAAAATGTCACAGGTATAATAGCACTATGAACAGTGCAATAGATTTACAGAGTGAATAAAATACGATTTCTGAGGATTAATTGCTGGTAGGAAACTAAATTTTGATAACAACTTACAACAGGTTAGCAATTAACTAAATAGATTCTAACTAAATTCTAACTAAATAGAATTATTTTATTGTCATGATTTATAGATGAGTCATTAGAGACAAAACCCCAACAAAAAGCTTTTCTCTCATCTAAATCATTATGAAAGCAAAGATATGGTGATCATTTTCTTGAAAAGGACAGCAAAAGCAAGAAGCAAGCAAAGAGAAAAATGGTAGAAAATCTGTTGCTTGTTTCAAATCACTAAGAGCTTCAATGCTGGAAAAGCTTGTTTTCAAATTTGAATGCGATAACAAAGTGAAACAAAGCTCTTGTTTTCATGCATATATGACAAAAAATAATAATTTTTGAGCAGAAAGATGATATATCTAATAAAAAATTATCCTGAGGCAAAAGTTTTGTGGGAATAAATGAAATATTTCTGGAATTGTGATCCAATAAAGCCCTACCCAGCTGCCATCACAGTATGAACTGCCACTTCTCTGTCTCTGAGCTCCTGCAAGGCTCAGGGGTCTACAGAGCCATATGATCAGCTGTGCAGGTCAGGAATCCAGCACAGCCTGGGAATGTGCAGCGTGCACCAGCAGCACCAGAGCTCTGCCTGCCACTCCTCACCTGCTCTGAGAGATGCTTGTGGCAGTGTCTATGTCTCTCATAAAGTGCTCAGACCACTTACTCAGCACATGGAAAAGCTGTGACCAAGGCTGACACCAGATCCACAACCCCTTACTCGGAGGCTGGGAGTAACAGCAGGCTGCTCCAAGGGACAGAAGTACTGCCTGGCCCTTCTGGGAAGAGCCTTTGCAGAAAGCAATTCAATATTTATCCAAAAAGGAACTGAAGGAATGCATGACTCTGTAGCCTACCACTTAGGATGCCAATTTACATTTAAGGAGTTCTTTATCCAGTGAATGCAGTGTAGAAGTATAGTCAAAATTCTGGATAAAATTCCTGGAGCAGAAAAGAGGACTCAAATTTACTGTTTCCTGGTAAAGCTTTATAGCCACATATATGAGCTTTATATCATGCTACAGGATCATAAGTAGAAAATGCTGAAAAATAAAACTTCCTGCTCCCCTAGGGAGGGCTTCAGACCAGAGGCACTTCTTCAGCCATAACTGGTGTGATATTACCTGCCTCAGTGAGGCCTTACAAAAGACATTTGACATCCTAACAGCTGGCAGCTGGAATTCATGAGAAATTGGGCAAGCTCTGTTATTTGGATTTGTCCTAATGAATTTATCCTGATTCCTAGCTATCTACAAAATTGAGATGGCAGGAATACTTCCACTTTTACAACTGAAGCTAAAAAAGTACCTGTTGCATATAATAAACTAATATTTCACATACTATAAGCTTGGATTTGGCAGGGGAAGCCTATGTAACACTCAAAAAACCTCAAAATACAACACTGAAAACCTGAGAATTTAATATGACTTTTATAATGTACAGTCTCTTATTCTTCTGCTCCAATATGACTTTTCTGAGTGAAAGATCTTCAGATCATTGAGCATAAAAGCTTTTGTATCAAAGCAAGTTTTAAAATGTTATTCAAAATTATTCTGTTGCTACAAAGGTACATTCTAGTCTTTATAATGATCCCTTTAGAACAATCCCAGATAATTGGCAGGACAAAATTGTTGCTTGTTAAATTATCACCTAGAAGAGGTGGTGAATAGATTATAGTTTCCTCTATTTCCATGAATTGGCCTATCTAATTTACTGGTTAAGCAGCACATCAGATTGCAGAATTAAAATAACCCGATTGAGCTCCAGAAATATATTTCTCTTTATCTGCTATAGTTCCATAAACTGCAGCTCACATAGATAAATATTTTTCCATTTAGACTTCAAACTCTTATCTTCATGTTACAGTCTGTAGAGCCTAAATTGTGATTTAGTGAACAAAGTAGTAGAAAAGACTGACTAGTTCTGATAAAACACAGAGAAAGATTAAGACTTTATTGGAGATAATGTCCTGAGATTACTTGGGACACAAACTCATGTGGGTATCTCTGTCCTCCAACTGACATTTGATAATTTTTCAGCCTTTCTAATTTGTAGTACAGATTTTGCTTCTTGGCTTTGAAAGGTACTGGAAGACATTGACCCTTTGTGGATTTTAGTGGAAACAAGCAGCTTCTGCCTCTTGCTGGGGCCAACAAAGATCATTGCTGGCTGCCCAATTTGGATCCATGAGACCCCATGAAGCAAATTTTTTCCATTTGTTGTTTAATAGAAGATGAAGGATTAATTTTTTTTTCTATAGGAAGATAAGCCAGAGTATAATTTTTTTTTAAATATGGATTTTCCCCCAGCCCACAGCCTGCTCAAGTTGATGAGCCTGTGATGAATAAAACATCCTGTGGGTTGCAAGGTTGAGTCTGGGTGCACCTCCCTGCCTCCCTGTATTCTGTACACCAGGCCAGTAGTTAGTAAATTTTAGTATATTCTTACAGAAGGGTCACAAAGGTCAGAAAAGTTTCTTTCCCTATACTTTCTTGGTCTTCCATGATGATTATTCAGCACAAAAAAAATTATACTCTCATAAGTTCACTTTATCTTTTGAGGTATTTTAAAAATCAGCAGTTAGACCAATCCTTAGCTGTGGTGCAATACTGGTAAATGGAAAGTTTCAAAGTCTTTTTAACCAAGATTGAAGCTAGCAAAAAATAAACCCAAAGTTAACAGACCAGTTTTAGTCTTTACATTTATACTCCCTGCTGTCTTTGAAAAGGACTAATTCTCATTAATTAGAAATTATCGATATATACAGATTCATAGATAAATTTACTTTAAATAAGCCTTTACAGTAAATTTGATATTTGCCTTTGCTGACCAAAAGGATATGATACAGATGTTCAAGAAGTTATGTAATTTAATGCACATGTACTCAGAATCTTAAAATTGAAGTGTTGTAACTGGTAAATGACATTTCTAATTAAATATTAGCAGATCCAAGCTAGATTAAAGCTGTTTTAAAGCTACAGATTCCAGCTGTTTTTAGAATGGCAACTGAAATTTAATGGATTTGAAGAAAAAGAACCTTTTATAATTAATTTGTTAAGTAACACAAAGGAAAAGGGACTTGGAGAGTTTTGCACTTCAAAAACTTTTATTCAACGATAAAACTTTTAATAACCTATGGTAACAGGACCAGTATTTGAATGAGCTGAATGAAAATTTTCTCAGTCCTTCTGTTCCTCAGTGCTTCAGAAGTTATTAGAAACAAATAATTGCACATTTTATCTATGGATTCAAAGAAGAAAAGAAGCTTTCTTAGTTTTGCAGAGAATTCAGATGAGAACACTAAAAACAGGACATCTTATCTGAGATCATATTTACTAAAAGCTGGCCTGGCAGTTAAAACCACACTTAAAAACACAG